AATCCAAATCTTCTAAAGTTTCTCGTTCGATTTTGGACTTTATAACTGACCTTAAATCATAACTGTTCTTAGAAGGAGATTTATCTCTTCTGCTGTTTCGATCTCCAGATTTAGAGTAGTGGGGATTATTTCGATGGCTTCCAGCATTACGCTTACCTCTATAAGAACTCATATCACTGCAGTTTAAAAGATCATTAATAGAAATACTACAAAAGTAAGTTAACAGCCACTGTAAAAAACAACTTATAGTCAGTATTAGGAATTTCGAGGCAAATTATACACAGAATAACATAGACAGCAATCCAACATATAACCGAAGAAACACTAATCAGATTCGCGCCAAAATACAACTGAGTTGAGTTGAATTTTTCTCCTGCCTCATCTCAAAATGAATTTCATTTAAATATCTGTATAAATGACCAATAATTCACCTAAAAGATTAATCTTTTCGTTTAAGTTTTCCATTTAAGTTTCGAGTCCTTGACATTTTCAATTTTTTTTTTTACATTTCTTTCACGGGATTTTTTTTATATAATATTTATTTAAACGTTTTTAATTATGTAATTAAATAATGTAAAATTGTTCTAAAAGATCATGTGATGAAAGTAAAGTTGAGCAGGTAGAGATACTGGTGATGCTGTAAATGTTTAAAAATTGCCGTCCATAACGGTTAAACCTACTGAGAATTTAAAATCTATGCTTGCTCGTTTGAAAGCAGAGTTGTAATAAAAATAGCTGGAGAAATGATCAAAATATTCCCGACGGATGAATCTCAACATAGCTCTATTACCAAATATTTAGCAAAAAATTCTATAGAATATTTTATCATAACACCTAAATATCAGAGACCAATTAAAGTTGTTATAAAAAGGTTATACATTAAAACTCCAGATAATGAAATTAAAGAGGAGTGAACTAATCTCGGTGGATAAAGTTATACAATTGCAAAGAGTTAAAACCAAACAATCTCTTCCTATCTGGCAAGTTACTCTCGCTAGAGAGTCGAAAAGTATGGAGATTCTTTAAATTAGAAATACTTCTTTATTTCTCTATTAAGATCGAGAAATTTAATTTGAGACCGATGACGTTGCATTGTTTCAAATGCAACAATTTTCATCACAGTGCTAATAATTGGGGATTTAAGCCTCGATGCTTAAAATGCGGAACGAGCACTACCATAAGGAGTGTACTATTGAAGGGAAAATTGATGTTCCCAAATATATTAATTGCTATACCATCGGTCATCCTGCAGCCTGGAGAGGCTGTCCCAAATTCCCGAAAATTAACTCCAACTCCAATAGACAAGCAGTTTATCCTAAGATCATCCCTTCTAGACAAGTTACTCCCAACTTCAGTTTTGCTTCTACGCTAAAAAATTCTGCAACTTCATCCGCTCCTGCAATTGTGACTCAGAACCAACAGAGTGCTTTACCCAACATTCAAGATATTAACTTATTCCAAAATGTAATTTTCTTAATAAAAGAATTTATTTCTTTATTTACTGATATCAAAAATCTTTCAAATTTAATTAATCAAATAAATTTCACGAAGAACAAATCTGACAAACTGCAAATATTCGCAAATTGTATGTGCTCTAATACTTCTATTAATGCTCCCTAATGACTCGTTTGGTTACAGGTCTTTATACGAAGAATTGCTATTGGAACGCTATTATATTAATTAATAAGTTATTTTTTTAATAAATTAATAATATTTATACCTTACTCATTTTCAATCTAATCAATGGGCTTAAAGCTTAAGAAACTTCTCTCATTCACAAAGAAGGAGATAGAGGTTACTATGCAACCAAGGCTCTCCGTCAATTTGGCAAATCGTCGTCGTCGTAAAAGGTTAATCATAATTTGATAATAAGTAAGATTAATAAAAATTATTCTAATTTTTTTTATCACCAAGATAGTAAATGGTAGTTGTTGAATAAATTTTTAAGGAATTATTTTATAAAAAAAAAAGTTACAATATGAAAATAAATAGTTCAAAATGATTAAGCAAGCCTGTTGGATTTGGAAATAAAGAAAAACCAATAATAAAACGATAATCAAACTACACTTCGTCAAGCAATGAATTTTTTTATTTGGTTTTCACCAAATTGTTGTAAAAAATTGTTTTGCAAAAAAAGACGTATTGTTTTGAGGAAACGTAAACAAAGGAACGTATTATTTTGAGAAGGTCAACTTTTTGTTTCTTTGACAACTTTGAATATTGGACATTTTCCCTTAAATCTGTAGTTCTCCTCTCCCCTTAAAATTGTGGTTATTGTTATCGGGAGTGAGGTTTTCCGAGTTCTTGACATTTTAAATTTTTTTTTTTTTTTTTTTTTTACATTTTTTTCAGGGGCTTTTTTTATATAATATTTATTTAAATGTCATTCACGAGGTAATAATTATGTAACTAAATAATGTAAAATTGTTCTAAAAGATCATCTGATGAGAGAAAAGATAATTATATTTCAAAGTTAAGATGAGATTTTCAAGAAAAGAAAATCGGCTAGAACTCTCTAGTTTTTCATTTATTTTTCATCCATAAAATATATGCGTATTGCTTTGTGAAGGTACGTTTTTCGTGTCCTTGGCTTTCGTGTCATTTTGGACATTTTCACTGAAATTTGTAATTTTTACTCATAAAATTTTGGATATTGTTTTGGGGTGCTGGGCTATTTCTTTCCTTGGTCATTTTTTTTTTTTTTTTTTTTTTTTTTTTTTTTTTTTTTTTTGTCCGTTGATCAGTTTGAATAATTTTTTATTTCCTTGACCACTTTCACTGTTTCTTATTTGCTCATTTTTTTCACGAGCTTTTGTAAACATAATAGTTTTTACAATAAATGAGTAATTATTGAACAATTTAGTAAAAAAATTAATTCAGAAGAAAATTTAATGTAAAATTGTTCTAAAAGATTGTCTAGTGAAAAAAGAAAATTTTATTTCTAGTGAATAAAAGAAAAAACAATTATTACTAGTGAATCTTTCTTTTTTTTTTTTTTTTTTTTAAGTGCAAATGGGGCATTCTTCAAGAAAAGAAAACCGTTTGTAATTCTATATATATATTTATTTTTTAAGATTGCTGTTATGCGCTTTGTTATTCCATTAAATTTTAACATTAAAATCGTAAACTAAATATCTTCGTTCAAAATTTGATGATTTTGAAGATATTTATAGATTTCTTTTAAAAATTAATCTACCTGGACAAAAAAAAAACTTTTTATATTTTAAATAATATTATGGGAAAACAAAAAGTATTGAAGCTTAACAATAGAAATAATCTAAAAGATATGCACCAATGTAGAGAGTGACAAGCTCCAGCACTTTATTTTGAAATAACATCTTATCAAAACTTGCAAAAATATAGCGTTAATTTTTATGGTACATTAATTCTAAAAGTATTTAGCTTTTACCAAATTCTCCAATATTACGCTGCTATAAAAAAATAAAAAATTCAAAAATATTTTTACTGAGATTTTGCAACATTGAGAATTGAATAAAAATTCTAAAATTTTAATTTTAATTTTATTTCTGATGCTGTATTTATTGGTTTCCTTAGGAGTTTTTTTTTTTTTTCTTAATTTGTTCTGAGTTAATTTAATTGTTTTATAAAATTAATGTAAATTTTTAACGTAGATTCGTTGTAGATTTTCGGAGTGCATTGGTCGCGCAGCGACCATAAACCTCCATCCTTGAAAAAATAGGGTTCTTGTCGATTGGTCTAAGCCCATTGCCAGTGTGAAAAAATGAAAAATTTATAGAAAAAGTAGATAATTGAATAAAAATTACAAATAAATAAACAGATAAAAAAAAAAAAATACAGAAGGATAGGAATTAAAATTACAAAATGACAGCATACTGAAGTAAAAAAGAAAAGTTAATAAAAAAAATAAAAAAACTGAGCACCGCCGTAATGACAATCAGTCATCCATTGCAGTATAGAAGAAAGCATTGGTCCTTCAGAAAGAGGAAATAGTGATTTTAACTATTGATATTTAAAACAGATCGTGGTCTTTTGCGGTTTTTGGGGAGAGAAATATCATAGCTGTAATTTTGAAGATCTTGTAATACAAGATTGTTAGAGTTGGAGAGATTATTATAAAAATTAATCACTAGTTTTTCAACATATTCAACAAAACTGGGGATAGAGATGGCATATCGTATTTCCGCATTTCTGAAGAACCAAGGCGAATCCGTGATCATTCGGATAATTTTGTGTTGCAGTCTTTCGAGAATTGTGATGTTTGCTTTAGAAGTAGAGCCCCAAACTGGACTCGCATATGCTATAATGGGTCTGAGGTAAGAAAGGTAGATTAGCTTTTTAAGTTCAATTGTTAGTGAGGAGTTTCTACGCATTAAAGTAAAGAAATTTCTTAATTGGTTATTAAATTTATTGCGAAGGTATTTAATGTGAGAGCAATAGTTAAGATTCTTATATAATATCACACCTAAGTATTTTGCTTCTTTAGACCAGGAAATGTTAGTATTATAAATGGTTATGTTAGGAGTATTAAATTTATTTTTCCTGGTAAATAGTACTGCTTCAGTCTTCGCGACGTTAAGTTTAATCTTCCAATTGTTAAGCCAATTTTCAAGTTTATAGATATAATTTTGTAGATTTTTCTGGATAATGTGTGTGCGCCGCCCCTGAGTAATTAAAGCTGTATCATCTGCGTAGAGAGCTAAAATAATTTTCTGATCTTGAGGAATGTCATTAATATTGTTGTTGTTTCTTATCCCACTTGGCTGGCCAAGCCCACGAGCCCATATGGACTCATGATTGAAGGGGAAGGAAGCAACTTCTGTTGTGATGGAGCACCCGTAGGTAGAAGCCTGACTTTTGCTCCGTGACGCTCTTACAGTCATAGAAGACCGGGACCTACGGCTTAAAGTGGATTCCGAACCACTACAAACATCCATGGCACCGCCGGAATTCGAACCCGAAACCTGTGGCACCGAGCGCCAGAGCGCTAGACACTCGGCCATTCAGGTCCTAAATTTGCCAACGGCACGCAGTGTTCCCAGGTGGTCACCCACCCAAGTACTGACCGCGCCCAATGATGCTTAACTTCGATGTCATTAATATAAATGTTATAAAGAAATGGTCCCAAGATGGAGCCCTAAGGTACCCCAGCAAGAATATTACAGACTTTGGAGTCAGTATTTCCAACAGATACAACAAAATTTCTTTTCGTTAGATAGTTTCTGATGGTATGAATTAAAAAAAAAAAAAGGATAATTAAACTTAATCATTTTATAAATCAACCCGTCGATCCACACTCTGTCGAATGCTTTAGCGACATCCAGAAAAATAGCAGCAGTATCTCGTTTCCAGGAAAATCCTTCAGATATGGTTTCGGTAATATTATACAGTTGGTGGGTGGTGGAAAGATTTTTAGTAAATCCAAATTGTTGAGGGATTAGTATATTAAGATTAGTAGAGTTTTCATTCAGAATATTAGCAATTACACGTTCAATTATTTTACTGAGAGAAGAAAGCAGAGAGATAGGACGGTAGCTATTAGGAGAAGTAGGGTCTTTTCCAGGTTTGGGTATAGGAAGAATGCGAGCAGTCTTCCAACACTGAGGAAAATAGTTAGTATTAAGAATGGCATCAGTAATTTTACAAATTTGGAGAATGAATTTGAAAGGCAAGTTTTTGAGCATTTTATTAGTTATTGAGTCAATACCAGGGGTTTTGTTAATTTTAAGAGAAGAAATACATTCGATAATAAAAGAAGCTTTAGTAGCTGGGATATTGTCAGTATCCTTATTTTGCGCTAAGAAGGAAGAAATAGTATTTTGAACTTCATTAGAGGTATTAAGATTATTAATATTGTTTTCAGTAAACTGGTCTTTTAAAGTGTCTGCAAGAACCTATGCTTTGTCAACGTTGGAGGTGACAGTCGTTTGATTATTAGTCAGAGACGCAATTGTGGACCGCTTCCTTCTAAAAGATCGTGTTAGATTCCAGAGTGTTCCGTCCTCTGCATTCACCGTTTGTAACCTTCTGTCACAGCATTCATTCTTATATTTTAGGATAGCCCTACGGAAGATGTTTTGATGATGATTGTAGTTGTTTTTACTAACAGGATCTCTATAGATTTGCCAGAGTTTTCGAGCATTATTGCGATTAGTAATGAGTCTTTTAATATATGGTGGAAGATAAGTACGGTTGTTAGTATTAATTGGCTTGGAGGCAATCTTGTGAGTATGAGTTAGTTCATTAGTGAGTTCCGAGATAGCATTCTTTATCTCTTCAGGACTTGCTAGGTGAATAGGAGAGTAATTAAAGTTATTGTCATTGAGTTTTTTTTTTCTTAATTTGTTCTTAGTTAATTTAATTGTTTCATAAAATTAATGTAAATTTTTAACGTAATTGTATTACAACGAATGTATATTTAATAACCTTCTATGAAAGAATGATTGATTAAAAATAAAATCTTTCAAACTTTGATAGAACATGTTCCGTTCCCTTAAGAAATTAAATACACACTTATAAGAAAAACTCCTATTCATTTCTTTCTGATTTATTGGCAGCTTTTTTTCCTAATGAGAAAGCATTTACCAATCTATGCATTTGCCTATCAAACCCCCTCCGCTTCGTATACTGTACTATAGTATTACACGTTTGGTAGGTCAAAGTTGATTTTCTTAAGCCGTCGCAATTTAAAACAACGATCCTCAACAACACATGGAAAATTCGTAATTTCCACATTCTTCCGCAAGCCTAAGGACATTACATAGATATCTGTTTACTGACTTTATTGCGTAAACAACTCAAAATTGTCTGATCATAGAAGTAACGCTAAACTATTCTTTACAAGTTCTTTTAAGAACAATGATCAACAACGGATGCAAAAGTAGGTTTCAGAAAAATGACTTGGAAAAAAAAAAGATCAACATAGTTACCAAAAGCAGTTTTTTACACATTGAGACGATATGTAAAAAAAAAAAAAGTATTCTAATATATGTCTAAAGTCTCTCTACGAAATAAATAAAAAAATAAAATAAACAATGAATTTAAAATATGAAAAAAAAATAGTTTAAACCAATCAATGAATCAATAACAGCCTACGAGCTGCCAACCTTAGCTGAATATGTCGTTTTAAAGTTTTGTTACTTCTTTCCTGATGTTATCCTTAGCAAAATCCGGTTCCATGTTTAAAATCTCAGTTTCCATTTATTATTTCTTACTTGTAAATATTTCCTTTTAATTCACCTCTCTTTCATATAGATATCTAAGTTAGAAAAAATATACATGATCTCTCTTCCGGCTAAAAAATATACTTGATCTCTCTTTTTTAATTATTTCAAAAAAAGATTCTTGAATCTCAAAATCCTTTAAAACTTGAATTTCGAATTCCAATATTTATTAAAAAAAAAAAAAAAAAAAAAAAAAAGGAATTGGTAAAAGAATTTTAACAAACAATACAGAAAAACGTTTTAATTTATTTAACATATATTGAGTTGAAAATAATTCAGTACCTCACAAATGTTTTCACATAGACGTCTCTTCTATACAAATTAATAGATTAAAAAGTTACTAAACAAAATATGAAAATAAATTCGTTTTGAAACCATTTAACTAACATATTTTTTATTTTATTTATATTTTGTTTTAACTATTTAGAATAAATTCGTTTTAAAGGCAGTAATATATATATATATATATAAATTGAAAGTTACAAAAGAAATAGCAAAGTTTTCGGATAAGAATAAAATTCAATTAAAATATTTCAGATGCTTTTCATGAACGAATACAGACGAACTTTAAAAACACCTTTAATGTTTTTAATATAGATTCGAACTATTTTATATTAAATTCTGGGTCAGAATTTCTTTTTTCTTGCATGACAAATATAATTGCTATTTTGAGAATTGGGAAGTTTTCGGATTCAATTTTAACATTCTGATCAAGCATATTATATTGGGTTTGAGGAGACATTTTAATGATTTCTATACATTTGTAAGACAATCATAATCAAACATTCAAGACAATATACGCGATTATTATTCTGATACAACTTGAATTCAGTCTGTATACCGAAATGTTCGACTGATTATTTAAAATTTTGGTTTAAGATGTCAATATACATTTACTGATATATGATGTCATCAATAAATCAGAACTTATAATCCAATCACCGATGGCGTTAAAAATTGGCTAGAGATTCAGTCAGATGGATAGAAAAAAGATGGCATCATAAGGAAGGAAATTGCATTGAAGAGGAGTTTCAATTGCAATAAAAAGAATTTTTATTTTTTTTCATTCAATAAAGGCTTTCTCAGTAATAGACATAACAACATCTATTTTATATAAAATGAAATGTTATTCCATACTTCGCATTTAATATAATGTGTCATCTACATAATGGAGGACTTGTTTTTAAGAGTTTCTTTACAAAACATAATGTCCTATCAGAAAATCTTTCCTATTTTATTAAGAAACATTTGTATTTAACCTATGAATTCATAGTAACCAAATAAAAAAATGATGTGATAAAATCTGAATATTCTTTCTGAATCAGGTTCCTTGTTAATAATTTTGAAATGTACGAAATTTAAAGTTTGCATTTATAAAGAGTCCTTCCCTAATTTATATATATATATATATATTACACATATATAATACATATATATGTATACCTCAAATAAACCATAATCAGGCGAATTAAGAGAAGACATTGCCCTTTGTTTTCGTGCTGTATGTATTTCGTATCGTATTTTCGACGACGTCGTATTTCGTGTCGTCTTTATTTTCGTGTCGTATGTCTAAGAAACCTCCATCCAGATAGCCTGATACAAGATATTTATACTCGTTGTCCTAATCACCCACCAGTCTGTTTCTGAAAACAGCGACTGCTGTATGCTGCTACCGATTCGAACATGTGCCCTTCTCTATGCTGATGTGTAAGTCATAAGATATCGAGTTAGGCTTTAAACCTATTTAAGGCGATTTCATTTTAATTTGTAAGAAATATTTCGTGCCCTCTTTTCAGTCAGTTCTCGTCTTATCGAAAACATCAAGCTTATTCATTTAAAGCAATGGTAATTATTGCTTTAATGAATAAAGCATAAAGCAAACTTTCAAAAAGATTCTTAAAATAATAAATAATAATCCCTCAATCCCGTTAGCTCAAATATATGTATATTTCATTGACCATAAATTCTTAATAACATATTTATTATAACTTATGATAATCCAATTAGAAAAAATATAGCACTAATTGTTGATATTGTTGCAAGAATTATCCACGCATATACAATAGTTCAATTTCACAGTTTTAATTGATGAGTCTACATTTTTATTAAATGATGACTAATTCGCAAATCATAGTTTAAATACTTTTTATAATAAAAAATCATCCCCACAATGCTTAGTTATTCGTACTTAACAAAAAAATAAGAATGAATTATGCTTTTTAGAACATATTTTGAATAAGAATGTCATTGCCTGCATTCGTTTTAAAACATCTTTTAATTTCCGATTACAACCTATTAGCTTTCGTTGTCAAAAGAATATTAAATTGTTCTTTGAGAAAATGTATTTTATTATCAGTTAGAAAGAAATATTTTGAATTATTGACTTTTGGATGTTAACAATGATTCCTTTTTACAGGCATTTGATTTTGATATTTTAATCTTTTGTAGATAATGTCAAATGTAAAAAAGGTTATTAAAATTATTAAATTTCAGGCAACAAATATTGTAATAAAAATCTCGCTTGCATATTTATTTCAAACATAGAGCAAGAACAATTCATTGTTGATATTATTTCTTTATTATTTGTTTGTTTTCAAAATGTAACTCTTAATAATTTTTTCAAAAATAAGATATAATTGGAGGTGATATTATGAAAGAAGTAGAAAAAAAGAACAATTAACTGTGTTAGTGTTTTTTTTTTTTTTTTTTTTTTTAAATGTTTGAACATGTTTATATTCGATAATTATTTTTAAATGACAGATTTATGTTCACTTAATACGTTCAATTAGTTATTTTTTCGTGCAGTATTTCAATATGCCCCGTAGAAGAATACGGGTGTTAATCGAATACGTTTCTGTTTGACTGTAGAAT